CGATCTGGTGATGTAAACACTGGAGCAGGAATGTGTGTACCACATTGTGGTGATGTTTGTGCACTTACGACAATTGCATTATTAACGCCTACACTTTTCTCTTACCGACCTGCCAACTAATCAGCAGCACAAATCATGTCTTTATAGCGATGTTGATTACTTTTTCCTGTGTATGTAATTATGACAGGTTGGTGGAATCCCATTGTCTTGAAGAGTTTGACCTTAAAATAGCATACATGATGGCCATCATCTATAAGACCAATCTCTGTTAAAAGCACGATCGCATCAGTGGAATCGATGCCTTGTCACGCGCGATTCCCGAAGAAGTGACAATGCCCCAGGTTCACTGTTGGTACGGTCGTTCACTCAATTTTACTTTGCTTCTCTATATCATTCCCATGACGATGTAATTTTATATAGAAATGTACTGATTGAAATCGTTCACATTTAATGCGAAAATCAAACATATTTCTATACATAAAGTGTAGTGTATATGGACTCGATTCAAAAGAAATGGGATATCTTGTTATCCCTGCTTCCGTGTCATACAGTGTGTGTCGACCAACGGAAAACATCTTATAGCCTCGAGAAATACAGGTCAATCATTGTATTAGCGTGGTTCTTACGTAGAATACCTTGCATTTCCTTTATTTAACGATAAATACAATTGCCGAGTGACGCCAAAGAATATAAGTTTATCATTGATTTTTCTTGGCTATCTGTCAAACAAGCCTGTCGTATTTATTTTTGTGTCGAGTTCAGTTTCTGAAATGAGTGCATTTTAGTAGTCAATGTTTATTGTCTTACCACAGTTATACGTGTATGTAAATAGTTATACGTATATTTAGGATCGTCTGTCTAACTACAGTTATAGGTGTATGTAGGAACATCCGTCTAACCACTGTTAGTTGTACACTATTGTCCGTCTAACCACTGTTAGTTGTACACTATCGTCCGTCTAACCACTGTTTGTTGTACACTATCGTCCGTCTAACCACTGTTAGTTGTACACTATCGTCCGTCTAACCACTGTTTGTTGTACACTATCGTCCGTCTAACCACTGTTTGTTGTACACTATCGTCCGTCTAACCACTGTTAGTTGTACACTATCGTCCGTCTAACTATTGTTTGTATTACACTATCGTCCGTCTAACCACTGTTAACTGTATACTCTCGTCCGTTTAACCACTGTTTTTAGTACACTATCGTCCGTCTAACCACTGTTAGTTGTACACTATCATCCGTCTAACCACTGTTGTAGTACACTATCGTCCGTCTAACCACTGTTTGTAGTTCACTATCGTCCGTCTAACCACTGTTTGTAGTACACTATCGTCCGTCTAACCACTGTTTGTTGTACACTATCGTCCGTCTAACCACTGTTGTGGTACACTATCGTCCGTCTAACCACTGTTAGTTGTACACTATCGTCCGTCTAACTATTGTTTGTAGTACACTATCGTCCGTCTTACCACTGTTTGTTATACACTATCGTCCGTCTAACCACTGTTAGTTGTACACTATCGTCCGTCTAACCACTGTTTGTAGTACACTATCGTCTGTCTAACCACTGTTAGTTGTACACTATCGTCCGTCTAACCACTGTTTGTTGTACACTATCGTCTGTCTAACCACTGTTAATTGTATACTCTCGTCCGTCTTACCACGTTTTGTTATACACTATCGTCCGTCTAACCACTGTTTGTTGTACACTATCGTCCGTCTAACCACTGTTAATTGTATACTCTCGTCCGTCTAACCACTGTAAATTGTATACTCTCGTCCGTCTAACCACTGTTTGTTCTACACTATCTGCCGTCTAACCACTGTTTGTTGTACACTATCGTCCGTCTAACCACTGTTAGTTGTACACTATCGTCCGTCTAACCACTGTTTGTTGTACACTATCGTCCGTCTAACCACTGTTTGTTGTACGCTATCGTCCATCTAACCACTGTTTATAGTACACTCTCGTCCGTCTAACTACTGTTTGTAGTACACTATCGTCCGTCTAACTATTGTTTGTATTACACTATCGTCCGTCTAACCACTGTTAATTGTATACTCTCGTCCGTTTAACCACTGTTTGTAGTACACTATCGTCCGTCTAACCACTGTTTGTAGTACACTATCGTCAGTATAACCACTGTTTGTAGTACACTATCGTCCGTCTAACCACTGTTTGTAGTACACTATCGTCCGTCTAACCACTGTTAGTTGTACTCTATCGTTAAACCTTGGACAAGTAACAGTGCGCGGCTGAAAATATGGCGGCAACCTACAGCTGTTGCTGTTGATGACACGAATCCTTTTAAATGTCTAACGTGTTAGCTCCACATTCAAGATGTTCGGTTGGGCATTGGGTAGGATCCCTGATAAGGTAAATTGCGTTGCATTGTTTCCTGACTTTCATGGAAATAAAAATTTAACATGGAATTGAAGGTCGTGTTACTAGTAAACAGCCTTTTCAGATTTCGGTTTTTGCGTTTTTTGTACCGTGCTTTGTGATTTTCCAATTTCAATATGATGATTTGTGTTCTCCCTTTTAATTGGTGTAAGTCTGCAAAGGTATAATTTTCAATAGTGAAAGATAACACATTTATCAATGAGAGATTTCTCTATATTTCACAGGCAAAAATGTAATAAAGTGTTTCATTTATTTAACGCATCAGTTATTTAACGTCATCGTGTAATAACCAACACCGTGCATGATGCCACACTTACGATTACCCTCGTTATAACGGAGGAGGGATCTAGTGTCGGTATATTTACCTCAAGTCACTGTGTATTTATTTGTGTTACCGCCAAATGACGTCACAAGCCTTAAACTGTGTTGAGACAGCTGTGCAATGCCTCTTAAACCATCACTGTACGGTCAGCTGCCCGGCCTCTACGGTCTATCAATATCCGAGGATTAGAGACGGGAACAAAGGAAAAGCTACCGAGCCAAAACATTTTCCATTACAGTATCAAAATATATGTATAATGTTCTTGTTCATTTTTGAAGAGTATATAAATACGATTCATTTATAAATTTCTCATCCAAATAAATTTGATAACGACATTTGTAATACTGAGAACTAAATGAAATGCTTTGTCGTCTGTTTGAAATACCGGCCTGTCTACGATGTTACGAAAAACAATCGCCTTTTACGTGTATTTAAAATGATGGATGATCATGATTGTGGTGTGACCTTCATATTACCAGAATGTAGCATGACCTTCAACTAATTATATTCAAGTTGTTATTGTACAATGATATGTGTAATACCAGCTGTTGTACAATAATATGTGTAATACCAGCTGTTGTACAATAATATGTGTAATACCAGCTGTTGTACAATAATATGTGTAATACCGGCTGTTGTACAATAATATGTGTAATACCAGCTGTTGTACAATAATATGTGTAATACCAGCTGTTGTACAATAATATGTGTAATACCAGCTGTTGTACAATAATATGTGTAATATCAGCTGTTGTACAATGATATGTGTAATACCAGCTATTGTACAATGATAGGTCTAACACCAGCTGTGGTACAATGTTATGTGTAATTAATACCAGCTGTTGTACAATTATATGTGTAATACCAGTTGCTGTACAATAATATGTGTAATACCATTTGTACAATAATGTTATAATACCAGTTGTTGTACAATGATATGTGTAATATCAGCTGTTGTACAATGATATGTGTAGTACCAGCTGTTGTACAATGATATGTGTAATATCAGCTGTTGTACAATGATATGTGTAGTACCAGCTGTTGTACAATGATATGTGTAATATCAGCTGTTGTACAATGATATGTGTAATATCAGCTGTTGTACAATGATATGTGTAATATCAGCTGTTGTACAATGATATGTGTAATATCAGCTGTTGTACAATGATATGTGTAATATCAGCTGTTGTACAATAATATGTGTAGTACCAGCTGTTGTACAATAATATGTGTAATACCAGCTGTTGTACAATGATATGTGTAATACCAGCTGTTGTACAATGATATGTGTAATACCAGCTGTTGTACAATGATATGTGTAATATCAGCTGTTGTACAATAATATGTGTAGTACCAGCTGTTGTACATTGTAAATAGGTGACTGAGTATCATATTACTATTGTACAATGATAGAGGTATATTACCAACTGTTGTACAACAACAATACAGGTGTTAGGACGTTTTCTATATACCAGCCACTGTAATCATGGTCGATTTCTGATTACATTCGAAAAAAGCTTTCGGCCAGTCGGAAGTGCCATATTACAGACAAGGTTTCATTATGAAGCGGAGCAAAGATCAGACACAGGCGAGCTCTATGTAATCACACGGATTCATATGCTTGGAATGTTTGGAGCTCCAGGGACACCAGCTCTGGACAACCGAAGGAGAGGCTTTCCCAGGACTGATATGTCAAATTGATCCTTGCTATTTCAAAGGCCAACGTGACAGCCCATCACAAACCATATACATATTACAAGCTTAAATATAAATGTATACATGAGATACATGACTTTCATTGATACGAAATCAATATTTATGTTGGTGAGATATATCAGAAAACACATTGCGCGAGGAACCGGTGTTTATAATACATATCGACCAGAACATGTGTTGGACATCCCCGTCCAGTCTGGCTCTAATTAAGGGACTATCACGCGACGATTAAAGTGTGATCAACGTGACTGACCCCCGGCCTCTCTACGGCCACTATCTAATCAGGTATCGGTCTGTTATTCTACTCCCCACTTTCGTCAGCACAAGGATGCATTACATCTTACACCTTCGTTCAGGCGCTGAAGCACTCTGGCCCCAGAAACGCGCGGGAAAAGTGGCATACCATGTCTATTGTCTGCCTATCACTATCGGCCTGTCTCCATGATTCAAATATTTTTGAGGCGTGTTCATTCGTCGTGTGCAACTGTAACCTCTAACAGGTAAAATTCATTGCTCCACGGAAACAAATGAGTGTGGGAATACGGTCGCGTGAGCATGGTGTGCGCCCGAGGACTACTGGTGCTAAGTTGTGTCGTGGTGCTGTGTAAGGGCGGGCCGATTATGGCCACAGTGCTAAACGAGTTTGAGGAATACGTTGAGTCTGTGATGGGGTGCCGACAGGTGCCCGGACTGACCATTACCATGGTCAAGGACAACTCGGTTATATACTCCAAAGGATTCGGATACGCTCAAGTGGAGGACAAAGTACCCGTAACTAATGACACAAAATTCTGCATTGGGTCGCTGACCAAGGCTTTCACAAGTACCGTCCTCGCCAAAATGTTGACCACACACTCAAGGTAAACAATATATATTGTTATTCACTGACCACCTGCAAATGTTGATTGTTGACAAAATACAGAATGTCAGTTTTTTACCACTTACAAAATTTCACCATCTATTGGAGAACATACAAATTGTAAAACTTTTGCCGTATAAAAAATTGTCAATCTTTGACCATATGCAAAATGTTACATTTGAAATGTTGACTAAATATACAAGGTTACTGTTGATTAAGCAAACAAGATTACCGTTGACTAAGTTAACAAGGGAACTGTTGACTAAATATACATGGTAACTGTTGACTAAGTATACAAGGGGACTGTTGACTCAGTATACAAGGGAACTGTTGACGAAGTATACAGGGGAACTGTTGACTAAGTATACAAGGGACTGTTGACTAAGTAAACAAGGGAACTGTTGACTAAGTATACAAGGAACTGTTGACTAAGTAAACAAGGGAACTGTTGACTAAGTATACAAGGAACTGTTGACTAAATATACAATATGACTGTTGACTAAGTAAACAAGGGGACTGTTGACTAAGTATACAAGGGACTGCTGACCAAGTAAACAAGGGAACTGTTGACTAAGTATACAAGGAACTGTTGACTAAATATACAATAGGACTGTTGACTAAGTAAACAAGGGGACTGTTGACTAAGTAAACAAGGGACTGTTGACTAAGTAAACAAGGGAACTGTTGACTAAGTATACAAGGGAACTGTTGACTAAGTACACAAGGGAACTGTTGACTAAGTATACAAGGGACTGTTGACTAAGTAAACAAGGGACTGTTGACTAAGTAAACAAGGGAACTGTTGACTAAGTATACAAGGAACTGTTGACTAAGTAAACAAGGGAACTGTTGACTAAGTATACAAGGAACTGTTGACTAAATATACAATAGGACTGTTGACTAAGTAAACAAGGGGACTGTTGACTAAGTATACAAGGGACTGCTGACCAAGTAAACAAGGGAACTGTTGACTAAGTATACAGGGGAACTGTTGACTTAATATACAAGAGGACTGTTGACTAAGTAAACAAGGGGACTGTTGACTAAGTATACTAGGGAACTGTTGACTAAGTATACAGGGGAACTGTTGACTTAATATACAAGAGGACTGTTGACTAAGTAAACAAGGGAACTGTTGACTAAGTATACAGGGGAACTGTTGACTTAATATACAAGAGGACTGTTGACTAAGTAAACAAGGGAACTGTTGACTAAGTATACAGGGGAACTGTTGACTTAATATACAAGAGGACTGTTGACTAAGTAAACAAGGGAACTGTTGACTTAATATACAAGAGGACTGTTGACTTAATATACAAGAGGACTGTTGACTAAGTAAACAAGGGAACTGTTGACTAAGTAAACAAGGGAACTGTTGACTAAGTAAACAAGGGAACTGTTGACTAAGTAAACAAGGGAACTGTTCACTAAGTATACAAGGGAACTGTTGACGAAGTATACAAGGGAACTGTTGATTAAGTATACAAGGGAACTGTTGACGAAGTATGCAAGAGAACTGTTGACTAAGTAAACAAGGGAACTGTTGACTAAGTAAACAAGGGAACTGTTGACTTAATATACAAGAGGACTGTTGACTAAGTAAACAAGGGAACTGTTGACTAAGTAAACAAGGGAACTGTTGACTTAATATACAAGAGGACTGTTGACTAAGTATACAAGGGAACTGTTGACTAAGTATACAGGGGAACTGTTGACTTAATATACAAGAGGACTGTTGACTAAGTAAACAAGGGGACTGTTGACTAAATATACAAGGGAACTGTTGACGAAGTATACAAGAGACTGCTGACTAAGTAAACAAGGGAACTGTTGACTAAGTATACAAGGGACTGTTGACTAAGTAAACAAGGGGACTGTTGACGAAGTATACAAGGGACTGTTGGCTAAGTAAACAAGAGAACTGTTGACTAAGTATACAAGGAACTGTTGACTAAGTAAACAAGGGAACTGTTGACTAAATATACAAGGGAACTGTTGACTATGTATACAAGGAACTGTTGACTAAATATACAAGAAGACTGTTGACTAAGTAAACAAGGGGACTGTTGACTAAGTATACAAGGGAACTGTTGACTAAATATACAAGGGAGCTGTTGACTAAGTAAACAAGGGAACTGTTGACTAAATATACAAGGGAACTGTTGACTAAGTATACAAGGAACTGTTGGCTAAGTAAACAAGGGAACTGTTGACTAAGTATACAAGGAACTCTTGACTAAGTATACAAGGGAACTGTTGACTAAGTATACAAGGGAACTGTTGACTAAATATACAAGAGGACTGTTGACTAAGTAAACAAGGGGACTGTTGACTAAGTATACAAGGGAACTGTTGACTAAATATACAAGGGAACTGTTGACGAAGTATACAAGGGAACTGTTGACTAAGTAAACAAGGGAACTGTTGACTAAGTATACAAGGGAACTGTTGACTAAGTATACAAGGGAACTGTTGACTAAGTATACAAGGGACTGCTGACTAAGTAAACAAGGGGACTGTTGACTAAGTATACAAGGGAACTGTTGACTAAGTATACAAGGGAACTGTTGACTAAGTATACAAGGAACTGTTGACTAAATATACAAGAGGACTGTTGACTAAGTAAACAAGGGGACTGTTGACTAAGTATACAAGGGAACTGTTGACTCAGTACACAAGGGAAATGTTGACTAAGTATACAAGGGACTGTTGACGAAGTATACAAGGGACTGTTGGCTAAGTAAACAAGGGAACTGTTGACTAAGTATACAAGGAACTGTTGACTAAGTAAACAAGGGAACAAGGGAACTGTTGACTAAGTATACAAGGAACTGTTGACTAAATATACAAGATGACTGTTGACTAAGTATACAAGGGAACTATTGACTAAGTAAATACAAGGGAACTGTTGACTAAGTAAACAAGGGGACTGTTGACGAACTATACAACGAACTGTTGACTAACTATACAAGGGAACTGTTGACGAAGTATACAGGGGAACTGTTGTCTAAGTAAACAAGGGATTGTTGACTAAGTATACAAGGGAACTGTTGACTAAGTAAACAAGGGAACTATTGACTAAGTAAACAAGGGAACTGTTGTCTAAGTATACAAGGGAACTGTTGACTAAGTAAACAAGGGAACTGTTGACTAAATATACAAGGGAACTGTTGACTAAGTATACAAGGAACTGTTGACTAAATATACAAGAGGACTGTTGACTAAGTAAACAAGGGGACTGTTGACTAAGTATACAAGAGAACTGTTGACTAAATATACAAGGGAACTGTTGACTAAGTATACAAAGGAACTTTTGACTAAGTATACAAGGGACTGTTGACGAAGTATACAAGGGAACTGTTGACTACGTAAACAAGGGAATTGTTGACTAAGTATACAAGGGAACTGTTGACGAAGTATACAAGGGAACTGTTGACGAAGTATACAGGGGAACTGTTGTCTAAGTAAACAAGGGATTGTTGACTAAGTATACAAGGGAACTGTTGACTAAGTAAACAAGGGAACTATTGACTAAGTAAACAAGGGAACTGTTGTCTAAGTATACAAGGGAACTGTTGACTAAGTAAACAAGGGAACTGTTGACTAAATATACAAGGGAACTGTTGACTAAGTATACAAAGGAACTTTTGACTAAGTATACAAGGAACTGTTGACTAAATATACAAGAGGACTGTTGACTAAGTAAACAAGGGAACTAAGTATACAAGGGGACTGTTGACTAAGTAAATAAGGGAACTGTTGACTAAGTATACAAGGGACTGTTGACTAAGTATACAAGGGGACTGTTGACTAAGTATACAAGGGAACTGTTGACCAAATATACAAGGGAACTGTTGACAAAGTAAACAAGGGAACTGTTCACTAAGTATACAAGGGAACTGTTGACGAAGTATACAAGGAACTGTTGACTAAGTAAACAAGGGAACTATTGACTAAGTAAACAAGGAACTGTTGACTAAGTAAACAAGGGAACTGTTGATTAAGTATACAAGGGAACTATTGATTAAGTATACAAGGGAACTGTTGACTAAGTAAACAAGGGAACTGTTTACTAAGTATACAAGGGACTGTTGACGAAGTATACAAGAGAACTGTTGACTAAGTATACAAGGGAACTATTGACTAAGTATACAAGGGAACTGTTGACTAAGTATACAAAGGAACTGTTGACTAAGTATACAAGGGAACTGTTGACTAAGTAAACAAGGTTATTGACTAAGTATACTAGGGAACTGTTGACTAAGTAAACAAGGGAACTGTTGACTAAGTATACAAGGGAACTGTTGACTAAGTATACAAGGGGACTGTTGACTAAGTATACTAGTTAATTGTTGACCAAGTTCTTTCACCCGGAACTCGCTGACTAGTCGTGTGTTCTTACACCCGGAACTCACTGAGTAGTCGTGTGTTCTTACACTCGGAACTCACCGACTTGCCGTGCAGTGTTACACCCGGAACTCACTAACTAGTCGTTTGTTGTAACGACTGCAACTCATCGACTCGTCGTACGCTGTAGCACACAGAACTGATCGACAACCGAGTGTTGTAAAAAGCAGAAATATCAGATTAACTTGTCGCCATCGTTGTACTTTTCTGTTCGATCATTTTATTTTGAATCTAATATTATATTCGTTTTGATAAAAAGTCGCCTGATGACAAATGTGCTTTTCTGTGGCATAATGAATCACTGCCTGTCTAGACGTGAAGCAAAACCTCCCAGTGGAGTAGCGGATCAAAGATATCATCACGGTTTAATTAATCACATTTGTTCATTTGATTTTTTTACCCAGCTCCTCATAAAGAACAAAACAGCAAAATTCAAATTTGGTTATCGGTAGATATGTAGGAATGAGTTCCGTTTGGTAATCACGAGCGAGAAAGCAGTGGACGTCTCGCGCAATAGACAGGTTCATTAAACACTGCCGTTGACGATGTATACTTCTTATTTTCACAAGATCAATATTCTAAAACTCGATGCAGTTATCACTGGTCATTTTCAAACGTAATAACCATCATACATGGCATGTATCACAAACAGTCGAACCTAACTACTACAGCGTAACAACGATACAACGCAGTAATGAAATTGTGAAATAGCGACACTGTTAATCCACGTTGTAGTATCGATGCAGTTAGAAGCGACAAGTGCGTACAACTATTTCGGTCCTAACGCCTGACTTGAAATCTCTTCTGTTTTGACCTTTGTGTTGAAGTTGAACGTCCACTCATTGTCTCAAACGTTGAAAGTCACGGAAAGCGTACAAATAAGCAAAATGATAAATTGACATTAAGAAACAATTAGCACAATTATATTTTAGCGTATTATTTTTATCGGGAAAGCACTAATAAGATTATCGCATAAAATTTGTACGTTTAAAGTATGGATTATCTCCCCTGACAAAGGGTACCTGTTGCTCCTGCTTGGAATGCTGTTTTGAAGCGCATTTTCCGTAAACTAATGACCGGCGGTATTTGCTATTACGGTGTCCAGGTTATGACACTTCAGCGAAATGACGCTTTCAAAAAGTGTTATTGAGTAACCCTATCATTTATGGACACCATTTTCCTTTGACCGTAGCTGTTGCGAGGACGTGAATCTAAAGAGAACCTCGCGATGCTCTCTGACAGTAGTTCTGCAATGTTAGTCACTATTAAAAGATCAAAGAAACAAGTACATCGCATTTATCATTGAAAATCCATATTGGGTTACACGCGTAATTTGTTAATGTAATTGACATCGGTTATGCCAATATCTTTAAGAGTTGTCGCGCATGCGCTATATATCATTTGACATCTTGGTCATAGATATTTAGGTCATATTTTAAATGGCAGCGTCCATGGTTGTTGATAAGAAGTATTTTCAGTTCACAAAATTTGAAAATGTGTTAAAGCAACATTTTATCAAATAATGTGTTCCCAGTATGCGTACATTGTCCATCAATCTTGAAATGACGCGAGCTGTTCAAAGAGGTATTATGGCTATGAACTCTTGACGAGATAGCGGGCATTGCATGTTCTTTTATACCCCAGACATTCCCATGACAATAGGTAAGGACAAAATCGGACCGGAATGGCGTGTCACACGTTGCTCAGACAACACACATCTGGGTCACCGGGACAGTCTGCCGTCTTGACATGTTACTTCAGGTCTCCTAGCAGTAATTATGTAGGAATCGAGCCATTAGACAGATAGGTGTTCAAGCAGATGTTTTGCATCATGCAAAATGAGTATTATCCTGCTAGCGAACGGGAAGAGGTGCAAGCTATCACTTCAGATACCAAAGCTGTCTATTTAGGACGGACACTTTCTGTGTAACTTGACTCTAATTATTAGGGTCCCATATTAATCACTGTGTCTGTCCGTTCGTCAACACCAGGTCTGTTAAATCTTAGGTCATAATGCATTTTGTGTTTACATGCAATGCGTTGTGATGTTCAGTTGGGCCTTTTATTGTATAGCCATCATAAGCGTCATTGGGTCAGAGGTCAAGGTTAAATTTTGTGTCTCTTGATGAACATTTTGTAAGTGAGAAGGTATCAAAGATATCAATTTGTTACATGGCACATGGTAGGACGAACAAAGTAGCAAGCTCAATGTGAAGGTAATCAGTGCAAAGGTCAAGGACAATTAATTAAGAGACACTCCATTTTATTCCCCCAAAGGAAGTATTGTAAGAATCTAACTAGAGGTCAGTTGATCACAGGTCTACATCACCAAGTCATACGTGAAGACCATAGTGTTATCACTGAACTAGCAAACAGTTTTAAAGTCATTTTGAAGGAAACCTGGTATGGATTTTTTGAGAATTTGTCTGAACATGGGTCTACCTCAATGACAAATAAAAGATCGCGGAAAAGATCATAGTTAAATCGGTATCAAGTGAATGGGCTACGTTCTAAAATAACTTTTAAATAAAGCTTAATTGAAATGAAAGAAGAGATCGAATGACTGGGTTTCTAGGTCAACACTGACCAATATTAATTTGGTCAAAGTTCAAGGTATTGTGTTACTGGTCAATATTGATGTTGTGATATGTAGAAATTTTTAAATCAAATTACAAGTGGTCAATATATAAGGCCATGACTATAAGATCAAGATCACCGTCGACTGAATTTGTGACTGCTCAATGTCCTTGTTAAGGACAGGAGTAGCATGCCCCGAGAACAGAACAGAACAGAAATAAGATGCTTTGCATTATGGAGGTCTGCTATATGTGCAGGTCTCTATTAAAACTGGAAATCTGCTATATGAACAGTCGTAGAGTAAGACTGGATGTCTGAAATATGCACAGTCGTAGATTGAGGTGTAAATTAACACTGGAGGTCTGCTATATGCGCAGTCGTAGATTAAGACTTCATGTCAGCTATATGTGCAGGTGTAGATTAAGACATGAGGTCTGCTATATGTGCAGGTGAAGATTAAGACTTCAGGTCTGCTGTATGTACAGGCGAGGAGTAAGACTTAAGGTCTGCTATATGTACAGGTGTAAATTAAGACTTAAGGTCTACTATATGTGCAGATGAGGATTAAGACTTCAGGTTTGCTATATGTACAGGTGAGGATTAAGACTTAAGGTCTGCTATATGTACAGGTGAAGATTAAGGCCTAAGGTCTGCTGTATGTACAGGTGTTAATTCATACTTAAGGTCTACTATATGTGCAGGTGTAGATTAAGACATGGGTTCTGCTATATGTACAGGTGGAGATTAAGACCAAAGGTCTGCTATGTGTGCAGGTGTAGATTAAGACATGAGTTCTGCTATATGTGCAGGTGTAGATTAAGACCAAAGGTCTGCTATATGTACAGGTGAAGATTAAGACCAAAGGTCTGCTATGTGTGCAGGTGTAGATTAAGACATGAGTTCTGCTATATGTGCAGGTGTAGATTAAGACACGAGTTCTGCTATATGTGCAGGTGTAGATTAAGACACGAGTTCTGCTATATGTGCAGGTGTAGATTAAGACACGAGTTCTGCTATATGTGCAGGTGTAGATTAAGACATGAGTTCTGCTATAAGTGCAGGTGTAGATGACTACTACTTCTCAATAACAATGATTCTTATATATGCGTTGATGTAAATTGTGATACCATAAAATGTGGATGCATTGCAGTATAACGCAGGATTAGCTAAGTGCATCCATGGTTAATGGCCCAAGCCGTGTGTCTTGATGAATTATAGATAAGATCCCGTCAGATCAGTCGTAGAAAACTACATATTTAGCCATAAGTCAAAGCAGATTATATGATTCAGGTTTAACCAGGAAACCAAGTGCTACTGTAAAGACGTAATACGGATCGTTATGTTTTTGTTGTCTAAATGAGAAGAACCGTTCCATCGTTCAGAACATACATGATAATTATGACGCGCTCATTGGCCTAGATACTCAGCCATAACCACGAGAACCAGAATAAAGCTAATGAAAAAACGATGTGAAATATGCATGCACTTTTGCTATAGTGCACGGATTACGGTAATGTTAACATCAGTTACCGACAGATAAGGTGAATGAATAAAACACTAAGCGATAGTTCTTATCTTTAATTCGCTATGTCATCGTAAAGTGGTCGTTATTGTTGCTGATAAGGTACATGCTGGAGATGAAAGAGACTGAAGGTATAGATTGTGAGGGGCGGGGCCAAAATCTCGTTAACGTATATATTACAAATTAGAATTACTAACATATACATTACGGTACAAAGTAGATATATTGGTAAGTTTCAGTACTATAGCCACCGTTCTTGACCTCTGCATGTCCTTGTGTTTGTTCATGGTGCCTTTCAATGACCCTTCAGTTTTTTCTGGTGAATCTTGATTATCAAAAATTTCAAATATAAAAATTCTGCGCAATGTTATAATGAACTGGCATTTTGAGTTTTCTACATTACATTGCGTTGCATTTTTGATAAATTTACAACCTGCGCGTTGCCGTTCTGTTTGCCAATCCTTTGACGATCCATTCGTCCGACAAAAAAAAAGCAGGAATCGACATTATATTGATAACGCTACGACAGATCCTTCTCTGTCGTGTCTCCTGTTTAAGCCGGAAAGAAACACAGGCGATCGACAACACTTACCCATTTCGTTTTTAATTAAACATGTCTAGCTTCCGTGTAATGTATTTATTAATGCGATATATTTTCATGTTAAACGGAAACAAAAACCCGTTTTTTGTAGATGTCCAATTATGTATTTGAACACGCCATATTTGATAAAAGCCGAAATATGGCTTTATAGTTGTCAGGGAAGATGGCAATGTGGAGTTAACATGCACTTTTGTGAAGAATGCCATTTCTCTGTAGTAATACATAGAAAGTAATATCAAACAGTTTTTCCTATTTTGTTTGAATTACATAGATGTAATATGTACAGTATCAATTTCACTCCAGATTCGTTATCTCGAAAAATATCGGTATCCGCCATACTTGTGTACTTGTGAAATACATTTATTTCAATTATAAGACATCGTGCACGTATTCGTGTAGAACCAACATGCAGAACACATTGATTGTCTATTGCAGATTTACCTGGGACACGCCCATTCAGAAGATCCTGGGAAATGGGTTTCGGTTGATTAACAAACTCCGTTCGGAGAACGTGAATTTGCGAGATCTACTAGCCCACAAGGTGGGTGTTCCGGGTTTCTTCAACGCTTTACTGGTGGGCTTTCCAGAAAATGTCACAAGAGGAGAATTTATCAGGTACATACTACAACTACATAAATAGAAAAAGCAGCTCTACTCTTCACCTGTGGCACAAACATTCATGATATGTAAAATTTAAGTTATTACCAGCGTAACTTGTGTGTTAGAATGAGCAGGGAACATGTTTTTTCTCTCGAAACCAGCAGATACATCGCCGATAAGGAATGGTTCTCATTCTGACCTTCAGGTAGTTTTATACCACTTGGATTATAAATTTTGATAAAGCACGCTCCATCACAGCTTTAGGCTAACTTCAACCAACAGAGATCTGTCTAGGCAAGCCTGTTACTGTCAAATGGAAAATAATGCAGATAAGTTGTTTTTCTTGTCTATTCCACCTAGGACGGTGTCTTCTGAGCTATACCGTATGGGGTTCCCCAATAAAATGTGGTGTTCCATAAAGGATTGCACGCTGGAAACAACTGATATACTATTAATACCGTGCAATTCAACCATTCACCTTTTTGTTATTTTGATCTCTGTATAGCTATGCATGGAGGGCGAGGGTTGTTTTACGAGACGTCGGTCAAACGAATTGACAGCAGTTAAACTCGGTTAACCGTAACTTCGAGAAAGTTTTGAACATTTCTGATATTATAGTTATGTTATATAGCACTGATGCGTATTCCCAAAGGTAGATATACATTTAAAGTAAATTTACACCCATGTCGTCCGAATTTGATGGTTCTTTCGCTTTTAGTTTAGCGATGTACTTCAACAAGGAACGTCATCTAGATATGTTTACTAAGTAAGTCCACAGCCGTCGTATGTTGACGGATATACAAGAACGTTGTCAACTACATACATTTTACACGAAAAACATATGGCCATACAAACCATACATTTTTTGGGTGTATGACTTTTTCTCATTAAAACCATTTCTATTGAGTCAGTTGAGAAATGTCCCTTGTTCCAAAATTCTGCATCCGCTACTGTATTTCACAAATCAACTCTGTCCTCTTGACGCGTATGATACATGGGCATCCTCAGTTGAAATCTATTGTTTCGGCCACTTTGGTGTTCCCCGCTAAAAAGATCTAGGCGACGCGGACTTATTCCACGATAAACGAACGCCCGTACCGGACGTTAGCATAGTATATGTAAAGCTCAAAACGCACAGTTCCGGAATTTTCTGTCAAACATAAAACAAAGAACAAATAACATTTTTGAATTGACTCGTATTGAATATCCGAATATTTCCGGAAAAAATGTGCTTCATCAACCCTGTTTAACGCCGAAATTCTAAAAACTAATGGTATCCAGCCAGTACTTTTCAGGAATATGCAACTGGCCTCCCCAAATTGCACGAATATCTTCAGTTTAAAGCTTTGCCTGGCGTTTCGCGTGCGGGTTCATCCAGTCGAAACATTTCAACCGTTTACGCTTGACATCTTGTCATATATTCCTGTCAAGATTCTGATCACAAGCTGTAAATAACTCACACTCGATTACCTTGTGTTCCAAGACTAGGAAAAACATCAAAATGTTGACCTTCTCTCTGGGCTTGGTTCAGACAAAAACATCGCCACAAATACTGTACATCCCGCATGGAATGAATTTATTTTTAAACTACAGAAAGTCCAACATGCATTGTTTTAGGTTTTTTTTTTAAATTTCTTTTCAAATTTTGCGGAAGTCACCGGGTATGATATTTAGTTCCGTGGGCGATGAACTTTAATCGGAATCCATTCGGGGATTTCTGTCCAACTGTTCTACAAGACTCTTCTCCTACAATTATAATATCGCCGGAAGAACCGTACAGTTATTTCGATAAGAAAAGAATTATCAAATAATTACATAGTCTTTGGTTGTTGGGAACGTCGTCATTAGCTGTGTGTGCTCTCTAGTCTGTCCTTTGATATCAGTTGTACAAAGCACAGATTTTCGTAAAATTTGCATCCAAAGTTCATCATATTTTTGATGGCGGATCCTGCGATATGCATTGCGTCTAAAAATAAACCTTAAGATGTGGTTTGTATAAGAGTACAAGTTATTTTAGTTGCCTTATATCCTTGAACAATGTTATTTGTTTTACTAGGCCTACTACAGCTGATATACATGTGGTGACAGAAATATGTTCGCTCGCAATACGGAGAGGATATTCTTAGTTCAGTCATAAAGAATTCAAGAGTTATGTGATTTTTTTCTTTATGAAACTGGCACGAGCGCAAAAAAAGTAATTGATTTAATCGACAAATTGAACGGTTATTCATAAAAAAAATTGTGGAAAAAATAGCACATGCACTTTACTTCATAAAATAATTATAATTACATTTTTTATTTTTTTTGTCCTGAAATGATTTTAGATTTGTCTACATCAAGAGATCTTTCAAATCCAATTAATGTTGACAGTTAACTTGTATTCCTATCATGTTTTCTGACAGTTATCTGGAGTATCTCCCCGCTTTCCTACCCTTTCGTACAAGGTTTGTCTACAGCAACTTCATGTACACACTGGCTGGACACGTGTCCGAGAAGCTCGGGGGAAGGACCTGGGAAGATCTTGTTCGAGACAACTTGTTTCAGCCTCTTGGTATGGACACTTCCGGTTTTGTGACGGAAGTATCCGATTTCGACAAAAGTTTTGCCTTATCGTACGCCAGTAGGAACCGAAAACCTGTCCGGCTAAACGAAAAACTATTACAGTAAGTGACAGAGTACCAGTCAGATGAGAATTAAGTAAAGGACAATAAGACCATAAGATAATGGAATTTGTTGTAGCAGAAACAGGAAATGACGTATCAACACACATCTGTATCTGCTTGTGTTAATGTAGAAGGAAATTGAGTGATCGTAGCATCAAGTCTCTCCCGTGATGTTTTGTGCCCTAAATATAAAAGTTGTGATACATAGTCACTCGTAGTCATACACACCGACTAGGCTGGCATTGACAACATCAAATCATGTTATCTAGTAAACACGGCGGACACACACGTCTACTGCTAGCCAGGGGCGCTTCCGGCGTTCTAAAGTATGATTGTTTTCGGTATAAACAAATCAATTCTGAAAATTAAGTATATAAAGAACGATTGTCAACCTTGTAAATATTGATAATGTGTCAAGAACAAAAATTAAATAGTGGAAAAAAGATACAAACACGCAAGCAAAAAAGGGGTAATTTTGTTTTCTACGTGAACGAGAATATCCGGTTTCCTGTCCTACATTTAAGGTATTCAGGAAATTTCCGGAATCGGTTCCACCACTTTAATTTATTATCATAAATGAAAGGGTTTTTTTAACTGCCCGCCTGAAATAGGTGTGCTTAGGTTGTGTAAACGTTTAACGTTTACAATTTCCTATCGATTTAATCATTTTGGACACGTTTGAAGTATGACATAAGGTAACAATATAAAACTACCACGATCTGTTGCCTTCTTACAGCCCGCAGTTTCTTTGAAATAAAAAAATATATATGGAAGGTTGCAATGCTAGCTAAACTTTGATACAAGAGTTTGTATCAGCTAGACCTCATTCCAGGTGTGTATCAGGTAGACCTCACTCCAGGTGTGTATCAGGTAGACCTCACTCCAGGTGTGTATCAATTACACCTCACTCCAGAAGCGTATCAGCTAGACCTCACTCCAGGTGCGTATCAGGTAGACCTCACTCCTCTAGACAGGTGTGTATTAGGTAGACCTCACTCCTCCAGACAGGTGTGTATCAGGTAGACCTCACTCCAGGTGTGTATCAATTACACCTCACTCCAGAAGCGTATCAGCTAGACCTCACTCCAGGTGCGTATCAGGTAGACCTCACTCCTCTAGACAGGTGTGTATTAGGTAGACCTCACTCCTCCAGACAGGTGAGTATCAGGTAGACCTCACTCTACCAGGCAGGTGTGTATCAGGTAGACTTCACTCCTCCGGGCAGGTGTGTATCAGGTAGACCTCACACCAGGTGCGTATCAAGTAGACCTCACTCCTCCAGACAGGTGTGTGTCAGCTAGACCTCACTCCTCCAGGCAGGTGTGTATCAGGTAGACCTCACTCTTCCAGGCAGGTGTATATCAGGTAGACCTCACTCTTCCAGGTAGGTGTATATCAGGTGGACCTCACAGGTGTGTATCAGCTAGATCTCACTCCTCCAGACAGGTGTGTATCATGAAGACCTCACTCCTCCAGACAGGCGTGTATCAGGTAGACTTCACTCCTCCGGGCAGGTGTGTATCAGGTAGACTTCACTCCTCCAGGCAGGTGTGTATCAAGTAGACCTCACTCCTCCAGACAGGTGTGTATCAGGTACACCTCACTCTTCCGGGCAGGTGTGTATCAGCTAGACCTCACTTCTCTGGGCAGGTGTGTATCAGGTAGACCTCACTCCAGGTGCGTATCAAGTAGACCTCACTCCTCCAGACAGATGTGTGTCAGCTAGACCTCACTCCATGTGCGTATCAGGTAGACCTCACTCCTCCAGACAAGTGTGTATCAGGTAGACCTCACTCCTCTAGGCAGGTGTGTGTCAGGTGTGTGTCAGGTAGACCTCACTCTTCCTGGCAGGTGTATATCAGATGGACCTCACAGGTGTGTATCAGCGAGATCTCACTCCTCCAGACAGGTGTGTATCATGAAGACCTCACTCCTCCAGACAGACGTGTATCAGGTAGACTTCACTTCTCCGGGCAGGTATGTATCAGGTAGACTTCACTCCTCCAGGCAGGTGTGTATCAGGTAGACCTCACTCCTCCGGGCAGGTGTGTATCAGGTAGACTTCACTCCTCCGGGCAGGTGTGTATCAGGTAGACCTCACTCTTCCGGGCAGGTCTGTATCAGCTAGACCTCACTCCTCCGGGCAGGTGTGTATCAGGTAGACCTCACTCCTCCAGGCAGGTGTGTATTAGGTAGACCTCACTCCTCCAGACAGGTGTGTATCAGGTAGACCTCACTCCTCCAGACAGGTGTGTATCAGGTAGACCTCACTCCTCCAGACAGATGTGTGTCAGCTAGACCTCACTCCTCCAGGCAGGTGTGTGTCAGATGGACCTCACTCCTCCAGACAGGTGTGTATCAGGTAGACTTCACTCCTCCAGGCAGGTGTGTATCAGGTAGACCTCACTCTTCCAGGCAGCTGTGTATCAGGTGGCCCTCACAGGTGTGTATCAGCTAGATCTCACTCCTCCAGACAGGTGTGTATCATGTAGACCTCACTCCTCCAGACAGGCGTGTATCAGGTAGACTTCACTCCTCCAGGCAGGTGTGTATCAGCTAGACCTCACTCCAGGTGTGTATCAGGTAGACCTCACTCCAGGTGTGTATCAGCTAGACCTCACTCTAGGTGCATATCAGGTAGACCTCACTCCAGGTGTGTATCAGGTAGACCTCACTCCTCCAGACAGGTGTGTATCAGGTAGACCTCACTCCTCCAGGCAGGTGTGTATCAGGTAGACCTCACTCCAGGTGTGTATCAGGTAGACCTCACTCCTCCAGACAGGTGTGTATCAGGTAGACCTCACTCCTCCAGACAGATGTGTATCAGGTAGACCTCACTCCTCCAGACAGATGTGTATCAGGTAGACCTCACTCCTCCAGGCAGGTGTGTATCAGGTAGACCTCACTCCTCCAGGCAGGTGTGTATCAGCTAGACCTCACTCCAGGTGTGTATCAGGTAGACCTCACTCCTCCAGGCAGGTGTGTATTAGGTAGACCTCACTCCTCCAGACAGGTGTGTATCAGGTAGACCTCACTCCTCCAGACAGGTGTGTATCAGGTAGACCTCACTCATCCAGACAGATGTGTATCAGGTAGACCTCACTCCTCCAGACAGATGTGTATCAGGTAGACCTCACTCCTCCAGACAGATGTGTATCAGATGGACCTCACTCCTCCAGACAGGTGTGTATCAGGTAGACTTCACTCCTCCAGGCAGGTGTGTATCAGGTAGACCTCACTCTTCCAGGCAGCTGTGTATCAGGTGGCCCTCACAGGTGTGTATCAGCTAGATCTCACTCCTCCAGACAGGTGTGTATCATGTAGACCTCACTCCTCCAGATAGGCGTGTATCAGGTAGACTTCACTCCTCCAGGCAGGTGTGTATCAGCTAGACCTCACTCCAGGTGTGTATCAGCTAGACCTCACTCTAGGTGCATATCAGGTAGACCTCACCCCAGGTGTGTATCAGGTAGACCTCACTCCAGGTGTGTATCAGGTAGACCTCACTCCTCCAGACAGGTGTGTATCAGGTAGACCTCACTCCTCCAGGCAGGTGTGTATCAGGTAGACCTCACTCCTCCAGACAGGTGTGTATCAGGTAGACCTCACTCCTCCAGACAGGTGTGTATCATGTAGACCTCACTCCTCCAGGCAGGTGTGTATCAGGTAGACCTCACTCCTCCAGGCAGGTGTGTATCAGCTAGACCTCACTCCAGGTGTGTATCAGGTAGACCTCACTCCTCCAGGCAGGTGTGTATTAGGTAGACCTCACTCCTCCAGACAGGTGTGTATCAGCTAGACCTCACTCCTCCAGACAGGTGTGTATCAGGTAGACTTCACTCCTCCAGACAGATGTGTATCAGGTAGACCTCACTCCTCCAGACAGATGTGTATCAGGTAGACCTCACTCCTCCAGACAGATGTGTATCAGATAGACCTCACTCCTCCAGGCAGGTGTGTATTAGCTACCCCTTTTTTCACCTACATCTCACTCCATGTGTGTTTCAGCTACACAGACCCATTTCGACTAATTCTTTCCCAAGGTGTGTTTCAGCTACCGAATATTGTTTTAACTAAACCTCTCCAAATGTTTGTATCAGTTACACCTAAGACCGAGTGTGTGATGTTCGCTCACATAAGTATGCTTATCCATTAAGGAAATGTTATTGCTTCTGTCCTTGGTGATTATTTTGATCGAATATATATCGGCTAGTCTTAAAAGTAATAACATCGTTTTGTTTTTTTAAGTTGTGTCGACCCACTTGGTCCTGCCGGATCAATATATTCTACAGCCAACGACATGGGTAAATGGATGTTGTTTCATTTAACCGCTTTCCGGAACACGTCCTTGACCCCGCTAGACATCGACCATGACATTTTAGCGGAGACGTACGCTAGCCAGATGGCCACGCCCTTTCAAGAGAAAAATCTATTCCGCCCCAAGTATCCCATAGATGACGTATCTTTGGCGTACACTCTCGGTTGGGTGACTTCCGTTTACAGAGGTGAGTATTGTTGTGATGACGGTGTTTTGGCTTTGACGTCATCATAATAAGTTGAGGTCAGATAAGTACATCGATGTTCTCATTAATTAGCTTTTCTCGTCTTCTTGAATTATTTTTCGAAACTAAAATGGAGACCTATAATTACGCACAGGCACTCGAGGCCAGGATATTATTTTTTAAACAATGATTTTTGTTTTAGCACTCATGACTGACGTTATTTAAACGAAATATCAGCAGAATTCAAGTTTATGTGCCGGTTGACAAATCCGAGGTCCACGGTCATTAAAAATACACTTTTAATGACCGTGGACCTTTTTTTCGTTTAAATAACGTCAGTTTAAAAAATAATATCAAAAAAGGTGGCTGAAAGTTATTTCGGGTTTTTTTCGCAGCAAAAAAGGCGACAATATAAAACCTCAGTTCTCGTTTTTTCATTTTGTTTTTGCTCCGAAAAGACGAAAAATCATATTTAAAAAGATCAAATAAATTCACGCTATTAAGCAACCTTATTTCTCGTGTTCTCGGATTAAAAAGATCTCGTATTTTCATGTTTTCGCCCCGAATAGACGAAAATTGATGGACACTAACAAGCCTTAATTCACGTGTTTTCGGGGCGAAAACATGAAAAGACGAAATTTTTGAACCCGTAAAGACGGAAATTAAGGTTGTTAGTTTCTTATCGTCTTTTCCAGAACGAGAATTAAAATGGTTAATTTATGCCCCGTGTGATTTGTCTTTTTTTCAGGGCGAAAAGACGAGAATTTAGTCAAAGTGAGGATTTAGTTTTTCAACTTTCGTCTTTGATATAATGAAATTGCACAAAATCAGTCATCGTATATAAAAGAAATAAACGCGTTTAATTTGGTATTTACGAAGTGTAATTTCATTCACATGGTAACGGACTGACAAGTAAGTTTATACCAGTGTGTCCGTCTGTCAACACAATGGAAACGCTTCTCTTCCTAAACTGTTAAGTGAATTTTGACCAAATTTGATCTAGATCATCATAGGTTTGAACAACATATTGTATAAAGGGTTATCTTATGGGAAAAGGGGAACGATTTTCAAATACAATTATACAGGTCTTGTTTCAATTTTTTTCCGGTTTCATAGTTCATTTCACAGACTGGTTTTCTTTCTTAGTTACCAGTCAACACACAAGGAGAGGACAGAAAGGAGATAATCGAGGTTATCTATGTATAACGTCATCAAAATATGTTCTTATGTTTTCAGGTCTGTCACTAAATATGTTGTAGTGACTGTCCAACGGTTGAAATAGTATTGCAAACAAAACAAGTGATAAGTTTGATTTTGAATGTTAGTGGTGTTTTTTCATATATGATTTGATATCTTAATGTCGAAATGATGAGGTGAGTTTTCCAGTATGTTCAGTTGTTTGCTATTTTTATTCCAGGTTACAAGCGTGTTTGGCACTCGGGAGGAATCGTTGGGTTCTCGTCGTTGATGTGGTTATTCCCCCACCAAAACATCGGCATATTTGCCTCGCTGACCGGATCACGAGACAATGACAACCAGCTCCCAATCAGAGTCATCATGAGCCGCGCGGCAGACATGTTGCTTGGGGAAACGCCTTGGCTCGACAGCAGCTCAGCATGCTCATTTCCCGCTCCTTGGAGTGATGTTTCGCCATCTGTTCCAGTAACAGGAATGAGCCAGTTTAGAACGTTTTGGAACAGTAGTCAGCCGATGGAGTTTTACATTGGATCTTACGGTCATCCAGCGTTCGGTAACATATCAGTAACGATTGAGAACCAAACACAGTTAATGCTTTATTACGGTAGATTCGGTCGAATGGTCCTCACTCCCGTCACCGACCTGGCCTTCAAAGGACACTACATAGGACCGCTCTGGTTTGCTACTCAGGCCGACGGACAAGTCAGGCCAGTGAATGTTAACTTTTCATTTCCGGTCTCAGGAGGGATTGCCTCGAATCTATCGTACCCCGTAGACAATGCTTTTGCGATAACATTTCAGAGAGATTTTCGAAAACATGAAAACAACGGTTTGCAAGGTTCACTGCAATTAACGTGCACAACCTCAGGAAATACACGCATTCAATCAACACTGTTGACATTTTGTGTTGTGATTATTATGGTGATGTCCTAATCTTCCTTCGTGATGCTATGAACAGTTTGTGTTATTAGTGGACAACAAAACCAATGCCTTTGGATGTAACCCCAAAACGGCAATTTTTGTTGTTCCCAAAAGTCGAAACAATATTATTGGTTATTCTTGGTTGTTCTCGAAAAATGGGACAGTGTTCTTCGTTGTTCTTCGAAAAATGGAACAATATTTCTTGTTGTTCTCCAAATACGGAACAATATTCTTGGTTGCTAAGGAAACGAAGGTGTTGGTTGTTCTCCGAAAAACAGAAATTAGCAGAATAATACCCTTGTCTAAATGTCTGGAGTGGTTAGACATTAGTGACTTTATGTACATGTATTTAGACAAAAAACCCAAAAAGAACTAACATTTTAGTGTAACGATTACTATTTAGAATAGCAGTCACTATTTTACTCAAAATGTAACATAATTTCATCTTAATTCATCATCTGAAAGAAATGTGAATTGAGTATGTAACATAATCCCTTCCCAATCCAATTTTTTCAGATGCCATGTCTGTTTTCCTATAGTATAAGTGGTAATAAGACGAGACTTTGGAATAATGAGATAAAGTAGAAATTCCTATTGTCTATAGTTCTTTTAATTAAGTCTGCGTTGCACCCCAACATTAAACATAAAATTACATTCTAGTCGCATCCTGTCCTTATGTTATTTCCTAATTTAATAAAGATTTGGCGTTTTGTATATACCTACGCCTTTTTGTTCATATTTTTGCAATGTTTCGCAGAGCTTGGCGGTAAACGGTATCAGACAATGGTGCTTTCAAATACTAATCCGTGTGCTAGACCTGCCGGAGAACGTGCAACCACCTGTACACACTAATTTTTGGAGAGTTAGGGAAATTTATCTCATTGATTCTTTCGCTAATAATCTTATATGTCAATTTGCGTAAAATTAGCAGTATTGGTGTTTTACCACCTTCAAAGCTCACCTGGGTCGAAGACAGCAAGGTTAATTGGATGAAGCCTGACAAAATTTGCGAAAAAAATTACTTTGACCAATGTATAAGGTAAAAGGGTTCAAATTTGTGAAAACAAAATGCCCTGATGATATATAGCTCGAAGTCTTCTAGGATAAAGCCCAACAAGGTTTGTGAGGAGAAATGGCATCGACACATTTAAATATTAGGTCATAGGGTTTACATATGTTATATCATTTCGACATTTTCTTCTCAATAACCAAAAGGCAAAGAATCATATACATGACTTGAAGGTATATTTGATACAGCGCGACATAGTTTGCAAAGAAATGATGCTGACCCATATTCAAGCTCACAGTAGTCAAATTTCATCGTTCAAGAACTTCTCAATAACCTTAAGGCTTAGTCGTGATATTCAGCACGAAGTAGCGAAAAGATATGACTGCCAGACATATTTCAAGGTCACAGGGACAAAGGATATGTTGTACGATAACTGTAAATATGCCCACATCTATAATTTAATCTTCATTGTGTGTTATATGTAGTACCCCAGTAAACTCCTTAGGGTGCATGTTTAAAAAATTCAGGAGTCACCTATGACCTGTTATATGACCTATTTTATGACCCTTGTCATGGGTGTGAGCCAGTGTACACATCTCGTCCCAAAACCTGCTCAGAAACCTATAATAACTCATCACATCGGGTCAAATCATCTTCATTAAAGTCTGCTGCATGCTTTGAACTCAAATATAAAACTAGGTGTTACAAATACAACAAATTGCGGAGGTTTAACTGGGGGCGGGGGAACTCATAATTTCCTACGAAAATTTCAACAAATTAAAGTTTTTGAAAACTGTTTTACACATTTACATTTGCTGTTCACATAAACTATTTACAAATTTTTGGCCAAATATATGTACTTAAAGTACCGAAAATTTTACCGTTAAAATTGATCCAGTGCCAGATTTTAATGTGATGGTAGAATCATGAACATGTTGCAGGTTTTATCAGCATGTTTTTCTTTTCATAATGGAACAGAAACAGTGCATGACTATTACATACGCTGACAAAGTTTTGAAATATACATTTATAATCCAAAATTTCTTAAAACAATTGTTGCCATACTTCAGGCATACAATGATAAATCACAAATATTAAATACCTTTGTCAAATTAGATTTCTAGTATTTAACTTCTGTTTCTTTCATCGAGACATTGGCAGGTTAGTTCGTAGAATAGAATCTCAAGTTATATGTTACTGATGCAATGTGGGCACACATGCCCGAGGTTCTATTACCTAGGACATAAACAATTGTATGCCTTCACAGGATAGTCAGATTCATCCTGGTCAAACTGAATCCAAACATTGTACATCGTTTTACACTCAAACGAGATCACCATTGTGCTGGTAGACCCAAATTTCATAATCACCATTATCTGTCTAATGTTCCACAATGTAAACAGATGACTGTTTGATATGGTAAGTGTCATATGTGACGGTCTCGAGGTATTCTAGATCCTCACGAGGGAATGAGATATCAGATGCTTCAAATTTCTGCCATTCACTTTTAGTTCGGTGTGTCATGTTATGGTCTTCGCCAACTCGCTTTGCCAAACCGTTGTCTTCTTGTAGGAACGAAAGCATTCGCTGAGCCATTTTAGTATCTAGTTCCACTCAAAATGGATCTGAAACATGTATGGGCCCTCTGAAGGCATTCAGACATGCAGTTACAATATAAACTAACTAGCCAATGACCTCAATGAAGTAATTTGATGAAGGTTTATCCTTGTACCCGCTTCTTTAGACGTTCATGGTAGGACTCTAGAACCCATGGCGTTTTGGTGCAACAGCGATCGCTTTTGGCTGTTTGTAAGTCCAGCTGTGATTTTCCAGCCGGTAAAACCGACGACATTCTCGCATCATATCTCGTTTACTTGCTGCCACGATTTCAGGACGTCTAATTTCTCCACGATGAGTTGAGTTATGGATCATTTACACTGCCGTGATAAGGACCAATTGTATCTAAAACATATCCATCAGGCAGCGCAAATGGCCTGGAATCTTCAATAATTGCGTTTTTTCTGCCCTTTGAAACTGGTGATCTTTGCTTTTGTTGAGGTAGGTATAGGTACCATCTAATATAAGAGTGATCTGATTACCATAAAATGCTTAGGGAAATACAGCATTGTGTGTGACAGCTTCTTGGCGTGATATATGGGTTGCATGAGGCAAATTAAAGTGTCAAACATATCAACAATTTTGTGAAAATATCTCGACAGTGTGGCTTTGGAGAGGGTAGTAAACACGATCGTTTGATTCCATGAAAAATCAATTTTACGTTTCTCCCAAAAATATAAAAACAGGTCTATTGCACTTGCAGTGTCACTTGAAGCTGAAACAAGGCCAGATTCACATATGCCATATGTCCTTGAATTGACCCAACGTCAAACCGGTCCAACCATGGCAGTCCAAATCTGATACATTTTCAAATCTTAATTTTGAGGAATTTTGATGTTTGGATACTTAATGTACAATTTCAAGCGAACCATTGATTACAGCTGAGGAAATGAATCCACTCGGTTTACTTTGAGAGGAATATAATTATTAGTACTGATCTTTGTATCAGGATGTAGGATGCTTCCGATGAAATGTTCAGAACATACAAGAGCATCAGGAGGGCACCAGATCGAATATCTATGGATACGAGAGTAACGAACAGATATAGAAATGTTTAAACAATTATTGTTATACTCGAAACATAAAGAACACTTCCGATGGCGAAGAGGTAGATGTGTGAGGTTCGTTTCGTTGTCATTTAGGATTGGCCTCAGTCTCCTCAAATGAACCTCGAGTAACCTTAGACCCATTATTACACTGAGTGTCGTCCTTTGAGTCCACCTCTTTCTTTGGTACCTCATGTAACACTTAACACATAACTTACCTCCACTGTTTCGTCCTGCGAGTCCGTCTATATATGGTACCTCATGTAACACTTAACACACAACTTACCTCCACCGTCAGCAGTTAGCCCGTCTGTATTAATGTTTCAACCAATTATTTCGAGGAGAATCTAGACTTGATTTAAAATTCTTCCTTCGATCTTTATAAATCTTGTTTTGCAATTAGGGATAACACATACATCATCCATTTTTTAGTATATCACAAAATGATATATCCAAAAGACTGAAATACAAATAATGGTATTCTGTGTCTTATGTAGATACATCAAGCTGGAATAGAAACAACAAAGTACCAATAGTAGACCACAAAATAAAACAGATCCCGTTTGCTCCTGTATCGTTCAATGATGAATTGATTCTAGGGATGTGTGTTGCCTTAAAAACAAGCATTCACTAAAAGAAAACAACAGATTAAATACTTTTTTGTTTGGTTTAGTGGCATTGCTGACTAATTTTGCTCATAATAAGCAGGTACACAATTCAATACAATGTGTACCTTGTGGCTAATGGGCAAAGTTCACCAGTTCATCACATGTAGCTGCTTACTTCAATTTCAGATTGAATGTTTTACTCAAGGAGAGATACTACCACCTTATTTATTCATTAAGGATGCACGGAATGCCGCTTAGATATACATTTCATATTTCAAACAAGTGGCCCAATGGGCCTGCAACACTCACCTGGTATGTGTATACCACCAAAATACCATGCCTCTAGGACTTTCGGTTTATGAGAAGAGGTCATTTAAACGTTTTAACAAATCTGATCCTGTGACCTTGAATATATATCAAGGTTATTTCTTTTCGCAAACTGTGTCGGTTTTCAAAATACAACATACCAACCAAAAAGTATGCATCTAAGCCTCTCAGTTTACGAGAAGAATTCATTTAAAGGTTTTAACAAATCTGACCCCTGTGTCCTTGATAATATATATCAAAGTCATTTCTTTTCGATAATTTTGTCGGGCCTCATACTAGGGATATACTACCCAGATATCAAAACATTTGGTCAGTTGGTAGTTGAGAAATTGGCAAAATGTGACAATGTCAGAAATAAGAGTACCGGTAAAATCCTGATTCTGCCAGCACAAGAAAATCTGTCCCTGTCCAAAAACAACAAAGCCTCTTTTTCTGTAACTTTTACAAGCAAATAGGTTTTATAAAATAATGTGTAAATCACAGAACATTATGCGCAAGCATATAAACCGCATTCGCATTATGAATCAGTGTCATCATCATGATCAGGAACAACATAATCCCTCTTGTGGATATCCTTGTGGATAAGACATAATAATCATTCCATTCGTTATGCGTGTATAGAAATTACCTTTGATAACAAACACATTGAATGTTGCGGCACTAACAGGAACACATTATTCATTGTTTGGCTCTGTTGTATCCAATTTTAAGATTTACATGGAATTATGTTGTTCACTTGTGTGTCTTTTGTACAA